CCTTCACCGCTCCACAGCCCACACCTCAATTTTGAGCTCCCCACGCTCCCTCACATCAGAACAAACAACCAACCCCCCCCCAAAAAAAAAAAATCAGGGATAGGGGATCTCACTGAGCACCCCTTGAATTAAAAAGATGCAAACGGGTTTTGACTTTTTACAACACCCTTGAGAAAACCTCATTGTCTAAGAACAAAGGAAGTACGACTCTCACTTTGTCACCCGGCCCTGTATGCCCTAGGTGTTACACTAAAAAGGCAGAAATGTGTGTTAGCTCTCATCTCACTATTTTAACCAGAATATCTCAGCACTTCCACACCTACTCAGTGTCAATTGTTACAAACTACACTAAGAAAACAGTGAATTGTTTTGACAAACATGTCAGATTAAGGCTCAATTTATATGCATAAGGTAAATACAAAATCTTACAGAGCGTACTGTATGCCAAGAAACAGAAATACTATCAGTGCCAATGGGCTGAGTGCAATGAAGACTGTAAGGAGCAGCCTGCTTAACCCTGAAACTGGTGCCCCGACTTAAAAGGAAAAAACTGGTTGGGAAGCAAAAGTTAAACTGTCCTGAACTACAGGGCAGATTCACCATGTGCTTCAAACACCTCCGTCACGATGCATTGCCAAGCTCAGAAACCTTTGATCTGCGCAGCTTATTCAATGAGATCCCTGCTACAGGCACTATTCTGGGGGCTGTCTACAACATCCATGTGGAAACACTGGTTTTAGGCTGTGAACAACATGGGGCATTCAGAAATATCACGTCTGGAGTCATTCATTGTTAAATACTGCAATGCTACTTGGATCTGGTTGAGGGGGGTGTGTATAAATGTGTATTATAGGAAGTAAATAATACAGAAAAATAAATAAAATATTAGCCCAGGAAAAAACAGTGACTGTAGTTTGTAAAATGTACTGTGACAATGCAGAGACGTGTGGATTTGGGGCAATTAAAACCATTTCTAACTGCAGTTTGGTATAGAGATTTTATTTTGCACCCGATTTCCACTTAAAATGGTTACTGTTCAGTCGTGCAAAATCTGAAAATTTGACATGAGCTGAATGAGACAGTGCAGGCTGCGGTTGGACAACAGTTAAAGGCGGGCACTAGGAAGAAAACAGACTCTCCGGCACCGCACCCAGAGACAGAATCACAGCCAGCGTTTTCACGTGACAATCCCGTCAATAACGTCGAGGACGTGCTGCTTAAGAATCGCCGGACAGGGACCGGGGCACTTAAACAAAGTTTGCCCCGAGCTCTTTGCAGAAATGCTCTTCCCAGAGCTACAAAAGTGAAGTTTTTCCTACATTGCAAAACCTGAAGTCAGGCACCATCCCCTCCCCTCTGCAGTTTAAGAAAGTCAAATCAATTATTCTCCCCACGTTTTTAGGATTAGATTCCATCTCTCAGACAGCAAACCTAGGAGATTGCATTAGAAATAGCACTGCTAATCAATAAAGAAATATGGGGTGTTTGGAAAGTCCTATACAATTATTTATTGATAGATTCGGCTTGTGGGTAACTGTAAAAGCTAGACTTGCATCATTACAAGGAACTTGCTCCTGATCCTCAGCGGTACTTGTCGCGTGTAGCAGAGACCTCTGCTGTCCAAATCGCTGATGATGTGTTTACAAATTTGGTTTTCATGAAAAGCGCTGCAGCGGTGGAGCCCGGACTGCCAAAACTTCACCGGCTTTGAGGAGGCCGGTGTTCATGCATTCTGCTCACACACTCCCTTCGCTCACTGACGAGCTGCGAGGCCTGAATGAGCTGCTGCAGAGAGGGCCGAAGCCACAGGAGCAGGCCCACTGTGAGCAGCTCAGCCATGCCCCTGCCACACACACCAGCAAGCCCTGGAGGCACCCTCCTCCTACCAGCATTAAACAGCCAGCGTTAAAGGCCTGCTCTCTCCCAGAGCGCCTAGGGAGAGAGCAGAGCGGAGGAGCACAGAAAATCACAGCGCTGTCATCCCAGGAAGAAGTATCGGGGATCAGAGCCTGAGGAAACGGAGCGATCCTGATTGATCTTGGTCCACTACACGTGTCTGTGCATCCCGCGAGCAATATCAAACACCCGTTCTAATTCATTCAAGGATCTTGAGAAGGAAAACACAACAATGATACAGAATAGCACACCAACGTGAAGGTATCCTCTCTTCCTCAGATCTTCCCGTTCCCTCTAAAACTCACAGGCTGCCTGCTCAAGCAAAGTGTGCAAGCAGCCATGCTGTCTGACAAAGGGAATGAGGAGGTAGCACTGAAATCAGGGGTCCTCTGGGGGGCTGCATGTCAGCCACAGCGCACAGCTCCTGGGAGTACCCAGGACTGGGGGTGGGTGGAGGGGGGCCCTGCCTTCATCGCTCAGCACATACACCGGGAGACAGTCGGAGCCACACAGCCACCGCACAACTCAATGTCTGCAGAGGCAGGCGCGCGAGTTGTAATTAATACAGCCTGGTTAGTTTAATATAGTTACGTGAACGCAGGCCAAATATAGCCTTTTTTGGAGACTCTAGTTACATTTCAGAAAATCTGTGTCAGTTCAGTTCTCAGATTCAGTCGAATAGCGCAGGGGCGACTGTCTCAACACTGGGCCATGCTCTTTCACTGAAGGGGTTCTGTGTTACTCCTCACAGGAGAGGCTTGATCAGATAAATCCCAAGAATGCGAAAGAATTCACAATTAGCAGTCGGGAACTTACACTGAATAGCAAAACACACCAAATAATTCACATGCTAAAGTTATTCCTCGGACTGCTGCAACAGCTCCAGCCTTTCAGCGGAACCTCCGCTGAAGTGACGATGTGCACCAGAACACTCTGAATCTTACTCGTAATAGAAACGGAGCTAATGCTGTACCTCTGTGGAGAGCCGGTACTTAATAATTAAACAAGCAATAAGCAGTTGAAGATTACACAACAGGAGACCAATTTCTCTAGGCAAACAGGCAAAGTTCTCATCACGCACCTCTTCTGACCTGTGTGGATTCTCAACTTCTCTACAGTACATGCAGTCCTGGTGGCGCTGCCTGCAATGACTTGTGGTTCCTTGTACTAGACCATAGGTCACCATATGTCAACATGAACTATTTTAGAAGAGAGAAAAAGGCAATGGATTTCTGGCTGTAATAGATTATTGGAGAGAGATATTGCAAGAAGAGATCAAAGTAGCTATGAAGGACTGACGCACATTACTGTTAAGCAAATAGATGCTAAAGCGACAATACAACCCTTAAGAAATGCCTGAACCCCGAATCAAGAGACCTGAAGAAAGGTTTGATTAATAGTAATTAAATTCCATGTTGTTGCACTCAATGGGGCTCTATGACATGAACACTGCTGTTTATAGAAGTCCCCTCTCTCTCCTGTTAGAAGATGAGGCTGTTGTCTGATGTGATCTGGGTTTTGTTTTCTTAAAAGTCACTGTCTGGGTGCAAAGTGTCCGAAAGTCGAACCCTTTAGATCTGTAGATGAATCTGACAGGCAGTACTGGAGGTCAGTGGCCCTCTAGCCTGTTCAAGTCCACAGCAGTGGCCACAGTGCTATGTGCTTCCTGTCAGACAATCCTTGAACGTCACCACAGGGCTGGTTAAGCCCATTCACAGGGGGCTAATGACTTTACAGAAGGAGGACGTGGCCTTTGTTAAAACGCTCTGTGCGCTGCAGCAATGGAAAAATGTTGTGTGGCGCAATGGAAGCAATCCTGTCTCCCACTTGGCTTTTTTCCTGACCGTAGAGGACATCCAACAGGATCAGATCACAGCCCCTCCTGAGTTTGGATCGGATTTTGCTTGTCACCTGTTCCGAGCTGCCCGCACTGCCACATCTGCTAGGAACCCTGCCTTTAGCAGCTTTCGAAATCCTGCGTCTTATTCCATGCACTCCTGGAATCGAACAACGCACACAACACAGTCCAACCTTCACATTGCCTGTCCTTATAAGGACATATCATGTCACACAAAGTTTAAAACAACACATCCAGCACGGGAATAACGTATGTATCTACGCCGTGCAGCATAATTACGGACGTGAATCACACACAGCTCATATTTCCTTGTTTCGTGAGAAAAACGGACTAAATGAAAAACGCTGTCACGTACTGCATCCAATTAAAAAGAGCTGCGCTGAAAGAATACAGTTCTCATGGGGACTTTTTTGAAGCTGAAAAAGGAAGCCTCCCTCGCAGTCTGCTCTATTCCTCCTGCCGCTCGCCCTAGCCATGACACTCCTGAGCTGGAAAGTGTGGAGAGGGGTACCTGTTGTGGTGACCCAAATCCATATCCCAGGCTATGCGGACAGCCAGAGCGAGCCCCCCACACAAGAATACTGGCAGCAGCCAGGACAGACACTTCACAGGCGAGTACAGCAGTAGCAAAGAATGCCACTCATCACGAAGCGTCGCCCCGCTAACACTCCGGAGTCCTGCCCCGGCTCACCCGACACCCACCCCACTCACCGCCACCCCTGCAGCCCCTCTCCCCGGCTGGGGCTCTGCACGAGGGGCAGCCCCTGCCCTCGCCGACAGATGCAGCCGTGCCCGGGCTGACTGACCCCGGCAGACCCCTCGCGCCCTCACCGGCTTAAGTCTTCACAACAGGTCACTCGAAACTTGCCATCTGGCAGGGCTCGCGGGTCTTCTGTTGAGCGCCGCTTGGAAAATAAGAAGGCAGCGGGGCTGCTGAGAGGGCGGGCGGCAAGAAGCGGGGAGAACTGACTGTTGCTCTTTGCCATCATATATTTTCACTCACGCTCCCACAAACTAGGCACCAGCAAAATGCCCTGCCTTTCAAAAACACAAGACACACTCTCAACACCGTGCATGCAGTCACCAAAGTGAGGTACATCCTCTACCTAGACCCTAAACCCTTCGAGTAGGGTTCAAGAGGATGCCCAGTCTGTGATGGGAATGTAAAATGTTATCCTCTCTGTCTGCCTGGCCCTCTGCCCCCCCTGCCAGAGCCCCCCTGTTACCCTGCCCTCTGGTCCCATACCTTGCGCTTGCGGTCTCGGGATCGGTTCCTCTTGGTCCTCTTCTCCTCCTCTTTCTCCTTCTGCTCCTGAGCCGCCAGGGCTTCCAGGTCCTTGTTCTTGCGGAGCTGCTTCGCTGCCTGTGCCATGCTGCCGGC